TCAAGTCTCGGTGTGCAAATGGGACGGAGCACAGAGTGTTGGTAATTGAGATTGTCCATGGAAGATACCATACTGGACCTAGTGGATAGGTTTTCACACTGGGGTCTGAATTCTGTGAGCGATGGCATGCCAGTCTGGTCACTAACTGTCTACTCAGAGAAGCTGGGTGGGGCAGGGAAGAACGCAGGGAATGTCCACTCCTTGTCCTTGCTGCAGGTGGGACTGCCGCGGCAGAGACCAGGCCAGGCCTGGGGTGGGCTTGACTCAGGCTCTTCAGCAGGTCCGTGGCCCTCTGAACGTCCTCTCCCCTCAGAGATGGACACAGCACCGGGGAGCCCAGCTTGGTTAAGCGCGAGGGCAGGGTCCTCTCCTTGGGGCTGAAGGCCAGGGTGTGAAAGGAGCTTTGCCCAGCCACCGCCCACTCTCTGTGACCCCTGCGGCTCTGGGTGTCCCCAGCTTGGTACCAAAGGAGAACGTGCATTCTCCTTTCACCTAATGACCATGGCCATGATTGTGTGGCTGGTATCTCCGTGTCCAGCGAGGGACCCAGTCCCAGGGCAGCCTCGGCAACGGCACGTGGGACTGGACTCCAAGCCCTCAGCTCACTTACTGATTGCGTGAGTGTCTTCATTCAGTGCATAATTATTGCCTACTATGTGCCAGGCAAAGTTGGGGATGAAATGGAAAGAACCTTCCCCTCGTGGACTTCAGAAGAAAGGAGCAAGAAAGCAGTGGAGGTGGAGTGCAGGCACAGTCAGGGTCAGGAGGCACAAGAGCTGGGTGCAGCTGTGGGGGTCCAGCTTTAACTGAGGGCGGGGAAGGGCGGGGGGGGGGCGCTGGGGTGGAGCCCAGACGACACAGGGTGAGAACAAGGGGAGGCGGGGGGGGGGTGCCCAGGGCGGAGGAGCGTCCGGCTTGGGCCTCACTGGGCCTGCAGCCAGGACAGCGTTCCCTGAGGGGCTGGACCAGGGCGTGCAAGGGAGAGCAGGGCCAGGCTGGCGCCAAGCGGGGCTCCCTCAGGGCAGGTGGAGGGCGCTGGAGGCTCAGGCGGTGGGTGGGGAGCGGATGCCAGCGCCACCCCCCCCCCCCAGCAGGGATGGGTGGTCAGGGCCAGGGAGAGCCCCACGGTGGGGGTGGGGAGGCCTGGGGTCAAGTCTGACAGCACAGACGCGGCCAGGAGGGCAGGCGTGGACCAGAGGGTGCTGGGGGCCATGGGCAGAGGCGCAGGGCACCCCCTGGGTGCTGGCCACCACTCGGCCCCTGGCTCTCTGCATACCTAGTGTTGCCCGTGGAGGGTTTGCTCTCAGGGGTGGGCAGCGAGGGACGGTAGAAGCCTTGGACTCACGAGGGCCAAGTCCCCCTGCTCAGGAAGCCTGTCCTGGTGGACAGAGTCTGTCTGCGTGTCCCAATGTGGCAGCAGAGGCCCAGGGGGCAGGGGCCAGGGTTCTAGTCTCTGGGGTGATGGGTGCACCCCGGAGCAGGTGGACAGAGCTGCCAACAGCATGTGGGATCTAAAGGGGACCCTGGCCCAGGACAGGAGTGCGGGGGAGTGGGGAGGCGCGTGGGCAGTGCTCAGAGGCGCAGCTGCGGAAGGACTCAAAGGAAGGAAGAGGGAGTTGGTGGAGCTCACAGGAGACAGGGTCACGCCTACTGCAGACACGTCCCAGGAGGCAGGACACGTCTCAGGAACCAAGTCTGTGAAACTTAGCTTAGAGTAAAAAATACAAAATCACTGAGAAAAGATGAAATGAAAAAACAGAATAAAATAAAATGAGAAATTACAGGGATGAAGAAACAAATTGAGGCTAAGAATGTGTTAGAAACCACGGGCGCTGGACGACCATGCCGAGACCTAAGTCCCTCGGAGGGAGACGTCCTGGGCCCGGAGGCCGCAAAGAAGCAGGAAGGCCCCTGCCGGGAAGAAGGCCGACCCTCTGCCCAGGTTCGCCCAGTGGGCAGGATGGCAGTTCCCTGTGATGCGCCCTGCTGGACCGGGGGACGGGCCAGGCAGAGAGCAGTGGGTGTATTTAATGTAGAAATAAGTGAACACAAAGTAAATGATAATTGGAAAGGTTTCCCCCAAGTGAAGAAGAGCACGGGTGCAGATTAAAAGGGCGCTGCTTCCCCGCAGCCGTTCCTCAGGGAGACAGGTCCTGTGCAGCTACTCTGGGCAGAAAAGGCAGGGGGTCCTCCAAGCCCAATCCACAGCTAGAGGAGGGGCCGGGTGGGGTAGGTGGAAAGGAGGGGACGGGGAAGAAGCCCCTGGAGCCCCTCCCCTCGCTCCCCAGGCCTGTTTCCCTCCAGGCTTGGAGTCTGTAGCCCCCAGGATCCTAGAGTATTGTGAGCCGGTGACTAACGCCCACACACTGCTGGTTTATACAACGTATTTTCTTTAGACTAAATAAGGCCTTGGGGGAAAATATTAGATGCATGTTATGGGTGCATCCCAAATGTTACCTACTGCCTGGGTGATTCCAATCTAGAGATCCTGAAAGATCTCTGAACTGTAGGATGTGGTTGGGTGAGGCTTCCAAGAAAGCTGTTTGAACGTGGGCAGGTTTCAATAAATGGAATGTAGATATGATCATAGTTGCAGCAGCCATTTTGCAACCACGAGGCAGTTGAGGACTAGAAGCTATACACCTAGGACCAGGGAGGAGAAAGACGAAAAAAGACTGGGCAGTAGGCATGAGGCAGAGGGCAGCACACTGCCATGGACAGCCTACTTCCAGGTGTGCTTTATGCAAGAGCCCTCTTCCATGAGGCTGGGGTAGGGCTGGCCCATTCCCCCAAGACCATCTGCTGGGGACCCCATGACTTCCTCCTCCTGCCCCAGTGTGAGGTCAGGGCCATACCAGGCCCCCGAACCTGGCCTGCAGCCCTTGCAGGACAAGAAACCTGGCTCAGGAAAGGAATTCTGCAGATGCCTATGAGAACAGAGAGACAGGCAGATGCCATCCTTTGAGGCCCTGCATCTGGGCCACCAGATAAAATGCAACTCACCATGTTCAGTTTCAATTCCAGGTAGAAACAATTGGGACACATACTGAAAAAAAGAATTCTTAAGTGGAATTTAAATGTAGCTGGATGTCCTCTCTTGTCTTGTGGAATCTGGCAATCTGTCCTGGATCCATCTGGGCCTAAAGCCTGACATACCCAGACTTCCCACAAAGGAGCTGGGTTTCTTGCTCTGAAGGAACTTTCTCTGGGTCCTTTGGAGAGCTTCTGCCCCCATGAGCAAGCAAGAGAAGAGAAAATAACCTGAGTGGTCTGTGGGCGTCCACAGGGAGGTGGGGAGACCCCACGGTGCTGCTGTGTGGGAGACTCTTCTGAAACCCACTGCAGAGAAGTCAGGGAAGCAGCTCTGAGCCATCCGATGGCGACTAGAGGGTGCCAGCGATGACCGAGTGCCAGGCCGAGTCTGGACTTCAGCTCCAGCCCCAGCTGCAGGGCTGTGTTCATCAACTGAGGAACTTGCCTGGAAGACACTCCGTCTTTCAGGCGTTGCAGTCCCTGGACGGCCCCACTAACGAGCCCGGGCAGCATGCATGGTGCCTGAGATGGCCGGAAACACACACTGTGAAGACCAGCTTTGTCTGTCCAGTGTCCATCCTGCCACTGAGTGACCTGAGCAGATGCGAGAGCTGACCCTCCTCTCCAGCCTCAGCTTCCTCATCTGTACGAGGGACAGCAGCCAATCGCTGGACCCTGGCTGCCCCTCCCAGAGGAGAGGACTGGGGACACAAAAGACACCTCCTGCCAGGCCAGACAGCACCCACGGCTGGGGACACCTGTTCCCAGCACCTGCAGGGGAATATTTCATTCCACGGGCTGCAGGCAGCTTCATGCTCTAGTCAATGGAAAACCCACCATGGCAGACGGCGGCAAGGCCAGCCTTTCTCCCTCTGCCCACTGCACTGCCCCACCCCCCGGTCGCCACTGCTATGCCTGCTGTGTGTGTGTGCGTGTGTGCACTGTCTTTTTCTACGTGTGTGTATGTGTGTGCATCAACAAGTTCAAAAAATAAATAGTAGTATTCTGCTGGGTTTTTTTAATCGCTGTGCACTCTAAGTAGATCCTGATTCTATACTTTGTTCTGAAAATTGTTATATTTATTTTTTTAAAAAATATATGTTCATGGGCTGGGGTTGTGGCTCAGTGGCAAAGTGCTCGCCTAGCAGTGTGAGGCCCTGGGTTCAATTCTCAGCACTACATAAAAGTAAATAAATAAAATAAAGATGTTGTGTCTAACTACAACTAAAAAATATTTTTAAAAATATGTTCAGCTTGTTCCATTTCACAAAATATAGATTCCTTCCTGTTGTTTAAAAATTATTATTCAAAAATTTAAAAGTCCACCAATTAGCTAGGCTCATGCCTGTAATTCCTGCAGCTCAGAAGACTGAGGCAGGAGAATTGCAAGTTCAAAGCCAGCCTGAGCAACTTAGGGAGGCCATAAGCAACTTTCAAAACCCTGTGTCAAAAAAATACATATAAAAAGAGCTAGGGATGTGGCTCAGTGGTTAAGTGCCCCTGAGTTCAATCTCTAGTACCAAACAAGAAAAGAAAAGAAAACCAGGCAGCAATTAATATCCCTGAACACAATTCAGAATATATAAGGGATTATTCTTGTCTATGCTGAATATCAATAAGAGAGACTTCTGGTTTGTGCATAATGTCTATTGAAGAAACTGAATTTGTAATTTTAAAATTTCCACAAAGAAATCTTCAGTCCCTGATGGCTTTAAAGGTGAAGTCCACAAAAAAATTTAAAAAGAAATAACACTAAACTTACAATAACTGTTTTTTAAAACAAAAAAAAAATTTTTAGTTATAGTTGGATACAATATCTTTATTTTATTTATTTATTTTTATGTGGTGCTGAGGATCCAACCCAGGGCCTCATGTGTGCTAAGCAAGCGCTCTACCGCTGAGCCACAACCCCAGCCCCTACAATAACTCTTTCAAAAACAGAAAAAGAGAAAAGCATCAGACTTGACTTTCGAGGCTAGCACAACCTTTATATTAAAAATCCAGTAAGGATTTTACAAAAGGGAAAATAGTACACCAATCTCTTTTCCAAACATAGATCCAAAAGGAGAAAGAAAAGAGAAAGAAATAAAAGAAAATTGAATACAGCAACATATAAAAAGAAAAATAATAGCAACCAAATTAGACTTACAGCAGGAAGGCAAGGTTGATTTAACATCTGAAATCAATCAGTGCCATTCAACTAATAGAAAAAAAAGTCATAGAATCATCAAAATATACAAGAAAGGATTTAGTAAAAATTTTAAAAATTATTGTTTAAAGATTCTTAGCAAATTAGAAACAAAAAGGAATATCCATAATCTGATAAAAGGAATTAACAAGGAAAAAAATCTTAATCCAAACATCATAAATGGTGAAATATTGAAGACCTTCCTTCCGAGATTGGGAGTATGATGATACTTTGCCACTTCCATCAACACCGTGTTCCAGGGCCTTACTAGTTCTATAAAACAAAAAACAATAGTAAAGTTCAAAAAGTATGAAATAAAACTTTGGTTTTTGCAGATGACATTGTATATTCAGGTAACTCAAAAGGAATAAAGCTCATGAAATATGTTCAAGAATTCTACAGAGAAAACTTAATATTATCAAGATGCAAAGATCTAAACAAATTTTATGAAACTAATGAAAGTATAGTTAGATGGACCAATGGGATAGAAGAACCCGGAACCAGATCTGAAACTGTGCTGCTTGGTTTATTTATTTACTTATTTATTTAGATGGATATTGAGGATTAAACCCAGAGGTACTTTTATCACAGAGCCATATCTCCAGTCCTTTTTATTTTTTATTTTGAGCCACAGTCTCACAAGGTTGCTGAGGTTGGTGTCGAGCTTGAGACCCTCCTGCATAAGCCTCCTAAGCTGCTAGCATTACAGGCATGGCCACTGCACCCAGCTACGTGTTCCCTGGTTTATGGTAAAAGTGACTCCGCACGGCCATGGAGAAAGAAGTGTTTCTACAATCTGTTGTTGCATAACAAAGCACCCCAAAACTTACTCAGTGGTTTAAAAGATTAAGATATTATCTTCATTTTCTGTGGACTGACTCCCCTGGTCGTTGTCTGCAGTCCCAAGGTTCAACCGTGCTGGAAAATTCAAGATGGCGTATGCACCTCCTGGAAGCTGACACTGGGCCTCAGTCCTCCATGATTTCCCACAGCTGCTTCTAAGAGGGAGCATCCCAAACACAGGGCTGGTCTGGAAGTTACACAATATCACTTGCCTGCCATGCTGCTAGTCAAAGCAGGGCACAGATCTGTGCTTTTCTCTGTATATACTGTACGCTGTACCCCAGTAAGCATTTATTAAGGAAATTTTTAACCACAGAAGTATTATATGGTCAAATTGATCAGTCTTTACTTTCTTTGTCTTCTTGGGTCTTGCTTACAGTCTTTTTGTACTCCTGAAAACTGAAGTATGATCTTATTTATTTTTGTGTATTAATTCTAGAAGTTTTTAGATAACATTTAATTTTTTAATTAATCTGAAAATTATTTCTGTAAATACTGTGGGCAGGATCTAACTTTTTTCAACATAAAGAAAAATGGCTGCTGGGGTTGTGGCTCAGTGGTAGAGCGCTTGCCTAGCATGTGTGAGGCACTGAGTTCGATCCCCAACACCGCTAAATATAAACAAATAAAGAAAGAAACAGGGTCGTTCCAATATCATTTATTTAATCATATATAGTTTCCCTTATTAAGGAGAGTAAGACTGGGCTCCTGATCTTTCTTGCACCTGTACTACACTGATCCAAATAACTCTGTAAACACATTCTGTTATTACTTACAATTTTCTTCAGCCATTGCCCAATACAAAAATCCCTCAGCATGGTAAGTGACCCGCATTCATACCTACTTTGCTTAGAGTGACTTGAGGGCAGTGTTTTCAGGCCGTGGTGTGATTTTCACAAGCAATGCCTCACTCAGTCCTCACTCCTGGGAGAGGGAAGACGGAGGGGCTGAGGCCGCACAATGGGACTTGGGGACTAAGGAGTCAGCTCCTAGGCTCCGCCCTTCCCTGCTGTGACGCCTCCAGGCAGCAGGGCTCCGTCCTGTATTGTTTAAATGTGATGTAAATGGCACTTTGCTGTGAGCCCAGCTGTCCTTTGGGAATGGGAGCCCTAAGCCCACAGCCCGGTCTGTGTGCTCCCCAGGGAATGCCCAGTTGTGCCAGATAAAATGTGAGTCTGTCCTGCTTCACTGCCTCCAGAGCCTGTGCTGTGGACTGCAGCGGTTCCTTTTCCATCCAGAAGGGAGTGGGTGGACGTGGCTCCTGTTTCACTGCAGGTTACTGAGTCAGAGAGGAAGTTGGTCAAGCATTGAAGATCCCCCTGTCTATACCAAAATGCAAGAGAAAACCCAGGGTGATGGGATTCCCCACTTGCCAATTCTCTTCTCATTTGGAAATATATTAGGAAGAAGCTGCCCTGGGCCAGTTTCATTAACCCAGCTCCCGTGCCTGACAAAGGGAAGCCCTCCTCTTAAAACAATAACAAAGGGTTCCCAATTTCTCAGCTGTCCACTTGGCTAGAATTTACCTAGAGTTCAAAAGAAATCCTGGCTCAGGAAATGAGGATTTGCAGGACACCTCCTTCCAGTCTTAACAAGGCAGGGCGTTACTGGCCATTGATACTATCAAAACCCCAGGTATTCCGACTAAGACGGAGCCAAGAGTCTAGTCCTGGGCAGATTCTCCTTAGGAAGGCTGAGGGTGACATGCTGTCCATTCCTTAGAAGTCCTCAGTGAAGGTTTTTATAGTCATTTTCAGAACACGTTGAAAGTAAGACTCAAGTGTTAGGTCCACGCTGATGGAGCTGAGAGAGCTGGGATGTGTGCTAACCCAGGGTCCGTGAGGTCAGTGAGCCAGACCAGACAGGCTGGGCCCTGAGTGCCTGGGAGGCCTGCAGCAGGATGCCAGGAGGCTGGGGGAGGGAGATAAGGAGACAGAAATAGACCCCTTTCTTCTAGTTCCTATCTCTTCCTCGTGTCCTGCTCCAAAGAAGAAAAGAAACAGAAAACACTTCTCCTGAATTGGGTTGTGAAGTTGGCTCACGTGTAAGCGACTGTGGCTCAGCAGAGGCTCTGTGTGCTCAGAGCCCCCGCACGGGGCCCCTCGGCCTGCTCACCCGCACCCCGCTGCCTTGGCTCTGGCCCTGCGTGGGACAGCGGCCCGGCGCCTGCCCCCACCCTTCATCTGAAACTAGAGAGGAAGCTCTTCAAAGAGGTTTGGAAAGCCAAGCGCCTGGGCCTGTTCTGCTCCAAGATCTAGGCTAGCCGGCCGCGCCCTTCCTGCCAGTGCAGCTGAAGATCCCCCAGGGTGAGCTCTGTACTCTCCAGGGCCTCTCTCTGACCTGTGTCCCCTTAGCCACGCAGAACACGATCTCACGTGTCCCCTTTCACTTAGCCACAAAAAACAAGAGCTACCCTCAGTAAACTAGGAGCTTCCTCAACTTGAATAAAAGAAATCCACGAGAACTCAGCAGCTATCATGGTACTTACAGGTGAGCGAATCCGACCTTTCCCCCAAAGGTGGGGAGCAAGGCAAGGAGGCCTCTCACCACTGCTTGTCAACATTGGACAGGAAGTCCTCGCTCAGGCAACACACTAGACAAAGACTTAAGAGACACACAGACTGGCAAGGAGGAGGTGAACCTGTCTTTGTTCACAAAAGAAGGGATCATCTATGTAGAGAACCTGGGAAAAAAAGGATCAAAAAAACCTGGATTTATTAAGGGATGACTGCAAGATTGCAGAAGACTAGATAAATATGCAAGTCATTCTCTTTCCTATGTCCCAATAATGAGCAAATGGTACTTGAAATTAGAAACACATTAACATTTATATTAGCACCGCCCCAGAATGAAATGCCTTAGGAATAAATCAAAAAGTCAATCTGAAGAAAACTGCAAAGTTCTCATGAAAACAATCTAAGAATTAAATAGATGTTCCATGTTCGTGAATAGGAAGACTCAATATTATCAAGATGTCAGTTCTTCCCAACTTGATCTATAGATTCCATGCAAACCCAATCAAAATCCCAGCAAATTATTATTATTGACTAATGAATTCTTAAATTAATATGGAGACCTCAAATAGCCAACACAATACTGAAGGAGAAGAACAAAGTTAAAGTTAATTTCAAGACTTTCTATAAAACTACAGGAATCAAGACACTGTGATATTGATAAAAGAATAGACAAAAAGATCAATGGAAACACCAGAGGATACAGAAACAGACCCACAAAAATAGAGGCAACTGAATTTTGACAAAGGAACAAAGGTGATACAACGGGGCTTGTGCCGAACACTGGGCATCCACACAGGTAAAAGTAAATTTAGACCAGCTCTTACACCTTTCATAAAAAGTTAATTCAAAGTGGGTCACAGACCTAAACGTAAAACGCAAAAGTGTAACAGTCTCAGAGGAGAAAACCTAGGTGACCCTGGGTTTGTGACGACTTCTTAGATACAACAGCAAAGAGTGATCCATAAAAGAAAGCATGGGTAAGCTGGGCTTCATTCAAATAAACCCTTTTTTCTCTGTAAAAGTCACTGTCAAGAGAAAGAAAGGGGAAGCCACATCTAGGGGAGGTATTGGTGAAAGGTGCATCTGATAGAGGACCGTTGTCCAAACTCGCCAAAGAGCTCCTAAAACTGCCACAAGGAACCAAAAACCACTGGAGAACGGGCCCAGACCTCGCCACGGCAGACCTACAGATGGCAAGGAGGCGTTTGGAAAGATGCTTCACGTGGGACGTCATCAGGAACACGCAGGTCGGACAGCAGCGAGACACCGCTGCACCCGTCAGGGCGGCCAAGACAGGAGGCGGCCCACCCCGTGCGGGGGTGAGGAGCAGCAGGTCTCCCCACTGCTGGTGGGAGTGCAGAAGAGCGCAGTGCTCCGGGGAGTCTGGTGTCTCCTACAAACCCTCACCGACACTTACCACAGGATCCCACTCCTCTGCACAACGGGCGTGGAAACGTGTGGCCAGGCCAAACCAGAAAACACACAAACACACCCTGCACGTGGGTTCATACTGCAGCCTTATTCACAATCACCCCAAATTGGGGGCCTCCAAGTCGTCCTTCAGTAGTGAAAGAATAAAACGGTGGGAGAGTGCTTCACACTCAGCTCTCAAGCCAGAGAGGACAGGAGAAATCTCACGCAGATCATCACGTGAAAGAAAGCCATCTGAAAAGTGGCAGACTGCATGACTCCAACTGTGCATTATTCTAAAAAGGCAGAATCAGGGCGACACTAAGCCCAGTGTTGCCAGGGGCCGGGGGAGGGAGGGGCTAGATTTGGTCTGAATGTCTCTAAAGGCCACAGGTTTGCTCCTGCACTTGGCCCTCCGGGGAGGTGGTAAAACCTTCAGGAGGCGGGGCCTGGTGGGAGGAAGGGAGGTCACCAGGGGTCTTGGTGGCTGGTCTTTTCCTGACTTCTGCCAGGAGGTGAACAGCTTTCCTCCACACACACTCCCACCGTGTCGGGCTGCCTCACCACAGGTCCAAAGGAAACAAGGTCAATACCATATGGACTAAAGCCTTGAAAACTATGAACCAATGTAACGTTTTGGTCTTTTCTAAGTTGATTACCTTAGGTATTTCGTTGCAGTAACAGAAAGCTGACTAACATAGGAGGGATGAACAGACAGGAAGATGGGATTTTTAGAGAGTGAAAATACCATATGATACTAAAGTGATGGATGCATGTCTCCTTACTTTTGTTCAAATCCATAGAATGCATCCCACTAAGAGTGAGCCCTAATTAAGGTACAGACTCTAGGTGATGGTGTGTCGATGTAGGTTCATCACTTGTAACAGTGAGACAGTCTGGTGGGCATGTCATGGCAGGAGGGGGCTTTGTGTGCGTGGAGGTGAGAGGTAGATGGGAAGTCCTGGGTCTTCTTCTGTTTTTCTGTGAACCTTAAACTGCTCCAAAAGCATAGAGTCTTGCAAACACGACACCATCACGGGTTGAGAACCTATGGTGCCAGCCATGGACCAGATGTGGGTACATTATCTCAAGTGACAGATAAGGTGATAGGGTCAGATGGCACCTGCATCTTTAGGGAGAGAGACGAGGTCCAGGGACACTGGGGTATATCGCCACCGTGTGTGTGAGGTCCACTTGCTCATCGTCCCCACCGAGGAGTCCTCCTGCTTCCATGTCCAGCTGTCCACCGTGGCTCCACGTCCCACTGTGGACCTGGGGGCAAGGCCTAGCGAGCCCTTCTGTTGGGGAGTTTCCTCTTCTCTCTGGAGTCAGGAACTTGGGGTCCCCTGAGCTGATCCCAGGGTGGCTGTGTCTCCCCGACGAGGAGCAAGTCTGCAGGAGGCTTTTGGGGCTCCCTGCCGACCTCGGCCCCAGGCCTGACCAGCAGTCCCCTGGTGCTCAGCTCTAGAGGCCCAGAGCCGCCCCTTCTGGAGCTAGTGGGAGCTGACCTCTCTGCTGTGACTGAACGCCCTGCCTACCCAGGAAGCAGAACTGGGATCTGAAGGCCGGCTTCAGAGTGCTCGCCCTGGCCTGATGCCCAGCCCGTCCTGCCAGAGACCGCGTCGCTCCCTGGGAGCACTTGGTGTCACACCCTCTTCCCACCCCATAAGCTCCATCACCCACCAACTGCATTTCATCAGTGTTATTCAGTGTTCATAGTTTTTCTTCATCAAACTTTCTAGAACAATCCATCACGTCCTTGAACAGGCATGGGTCAGTGTTTCCACAGGCCTATTCATCCACTGCAGCCAGAGCGGCCCGCCATTTTGGCCTGGCTGCACTCTTCCTGAGGGTGAGCGTGGGCTGCCTCGTGGACAGACGGGGTCCCCTTCCTTACTGCTCGGTGGCTCCCCATCCCACATTCTCCACTGCCTCTGGCCGCAGTTTCCCGGCCTCCTCCAGGAGCACTCTCCTGCCATCCCTCACTCACAGGGACTCCTCGGGCGACGATCTCTCCCCCTACCCTGTCATCTCACCCTTGTCTCTTTCTAGAATTATCTTCCCAATGGTGCTGAATCTCACGTGGTACCTCTAGCCCAGATCTCTTCACTGAGCTTCAAGCCCACGTGCGAACCTTCCTACCCTCTCACCTCTTACCATCCCACATCACTCCAATCCAATGGGGCAAACAAACTCATCCGGTTCCAGATCCCATCTTCTCGTCTGTATTAGATTCGTTGCGCCTAAGCATCCTGTTGTAGGAACTAGAAGACACACAAAGCTCTCTTGTCCCCTCATTCCTAACCCAATCAGGGTCAAGTCAGTCAATTCTGTGTCCCAGCACATCTCAAATGCATTGACTCATCCCCCACACGCTGGCATGGAGAACCATCTCCGCATCTCTCACCTGGCCCACTGTGTCTCGCCCGGTTCACCTGTGTGCTGACCCCCAAGTGGCCCAGCTGGGTGGGCAAGCCCAGCCTGGAAGCGGTCCACAGGGGTTGCTGCTCACGGGCCCTGCTCAGTGGGGTCTTCAGATTGCTGGCTGAGCTGGAAAGCCTTCCTGTGACACAGGAAGCCTCCTAACGCATTTGGCTGAATCCTGCCCCTGGGTTTGACACTGTTACTGTAAAGTGGACAGTCTTCAAAAGGACGAAGCACTGATTCACACACTGAGCTTCCCTGACCTTCCCTCCGGAGCTCTGTGGAGCCCAGCCCGCCTCCTGGTGTTTGGACAAGTGTGGGTTTTCTGACCCAACATTTCATTTTAATCAATGGTCTACATCCATCCCTAAGAGACTGACACTCAACCTAGTACTCTTTTTGAACTCAGCTGTGCATCGGACTCTGATGTGACATTGTGCAACTTCCCGAGAGTAACGTGGCATTATCCTGGAGGGAAAGGCCTATTTAAATCCTCACTCACAGCCATACCATGAGCCGCAGCAAAGCCAGACCTCTCAGTGCCCGGGGACAGTGCCCTGAACTCACAATGCCCCATCGTGATGTGGGTTTAATTACAGCTCATTTTCAAAGAGCTTCCCAGTGAGCCTGCAAGATGTGAGGGCTGCCCTCCTCCTGGCCTCCTCTCTGGGGCACAGCTGCAGCTCCAGATCCCACATGAATGAAAACCCTGTCCACGCCAAGGGTGTGACAGGGCGCTGGGCCCTGCTGCAGTCTGGGTGGAGCCCCAGCTGTAAAAAGACAGCAGGCGTCTCTCCCGGGGCCTGAGCTACAAAGTGCCAGTCAGACGTCTGCGCAGAGGCCTTGGAGCCCGGCAGGGCAGACTGGGCTCTCAGAGGTGTCCCTCCCAGGCTCAGCAGCAGCCACACTGCGGTGCCGACCCACAGGCCTTCGCCACACCCTCCCTCGACTCCTGGAGCCCCTGCCACAGCAAGACCAGGACTCCCCCAGGCCCAGGTCAGGGCCGAGCAGGCCTGGCCCCCGGGGAGGTACTACTCTCAAGTTCACAGGCCACTCCAGGGCCCTGGGTCTGACACAGGTCCCGGCCACACAGACGGACACTGTGTCCTCGTTCTCAGAAAGGAGATGGCAGCCCAGAGAACAGAGCGTGAACTTCCAGGATCAGGAGAGAACTCGGGGAGTGGAGCAGAGGCCCGTCTTCACCCAGAGGCCAGCTTGGCCCACGGAGCACTCCCCAGCCCGTGGGCCAGCTGTGTCTCTGTTTCTGAAGGACAGTAACCGCAAAGGGCTCAGAAGGCCCATGGGCCTCCCCAGCTGGCCTCTGAGCCTCTGCTCTTCCTGCCCGCTATTTGTCGGGGCGGCCCCACCACACCCCACAGACCTTGCCCTGGGCCCTGGAGTGCCAGCCACCTGCCCACAGAGCCAGCTCCACGGCAAGGTGGCTCCCGCCGGCTGGTTTCATTTCCCTCCTGCCCGCAACGTCACTCAAACACCGTACATTCCTTAGCTCCAAACCCAGGAGCTCAGATCATTTGGAGGCACATTTTCCTCACCTGGAAGAGTCCGCTCCTGAGAAAGCAGGGCCTGAGTGTGTGGCTGGATGGAGGGAGACGGGCTCCTTGAGTCTGCCATGGAAGCCCGAGCCCTGGGCTGGGGACAACCAGGAGCAGGGCTCTGCCTTGGCTCCAAAGGCCACATGCCCCTGTGCCTGCCTAGGATCATGCCCGTGGGGTATCATGTGGCACTGATGTGGAGAACTGGGAATAGCCTTTCTTTCCGCCTCCTCTGTACCCTCTAAGAATGTCTGGAATGTGAAGAGCCTCCCTACTTCCCAGGGCAGACTGAAGCTCTGGAGTCACCCAAGGCCCACCCTCTCAGGAGCAGCCCTTTCTAGAAGAGCTCCTGTGACAAAAGAATTTCCCCAAGACACTCCCCCTGAGGAGGAGGGTCTTCACACCTGAGCAGTGCGGCTGGGCCCAGGGGCCACGCCTGTCATCTCAGTGACTGTGCAGGCTGAGGCAGGAGGGTTGAAACTTCGAGGTCGACTCGGCAGCTTAGTGAGGCCCTGTCTCAAAATAAAGAATAAAAAGGGCTGGGGCTGAGCCCAGTGGTCAAGCACCCGGGTTCAATCTTGAGGCTGCCAAAACCCAAACCAAACCCTGCAGGCATCGAACACCACAGAACTGTGGCTGCCGTCTGCACTGGTAACAGCGGATGACCCATAGAGCCCGCGGTCCTCCCGCTGTGCGGCCTCCTTCTCAGACATTGAAAAAGCGGGACACAAGGTAGGCCCCACAATGTCCAGGCACAGCGTGGACACAGCACAGGCCAGTCCTCACACCTTGATAGGATGTCACTTGAGATGAAGCAGCAGCATCAGAGAAACTCTAGGATGTGCCCAGGGGACGAGGACCGGACAGAGCCAGCCCTGCTCGACAGGCTCCCTCCTTCCTCTCAGGCCTCCTCCGGAATCCTCTAGAATTCACTTAGTGAGTCTTTGAGATGGAAGACCCTGATTGTAACTGGTGCTAGTCCCAGATGTGACTGGAACAAATAGAAGTGGCCGGAAGTAAGAACCAGGCCTCCCGTCCTGGGCAGCAGGTGCAGAGTGACCCAGGCCTCCCTGACCCCCTCGGGCATGCTCCCAGGGGGGGTGGGGTTGTCCAGTCAAAGGCAGACCCCACTCTGACCCCACAGAACAGCAGCTCAGGGAGTGTGCCCTGCTGTCCAGCGGTCACCAAGCAGCACACGGGCAAACTGGCCGTGTGCTCACCAAGCTCCTGGCCCAGGGAAAAGCAGAGGGTGGTGCAGCCGTCACTCACTACCTTCCTCAAGTTCAGAGTGGGATCAGGGAAGTGCGCAGGCGGCACAGCCTGGCTCCTGTGCGGAGCTCCCAGCACCCAATATGGCGGGGCCCCCCCCCCCCCGCAGTCCTCTCACCCCAGGCCGCAGCAGGAGGGGTTGTTCCCATTCCTGGCTCCACAGCCACTTCCGTCCTGAGCTCCGGCCCAGGGGAGCTGCATGGCTCTCCCTGGCTCCTCTGAACTCTGACCCATGCCCCTGCAGGCACTGCTGCGAGCTGGCCCCCAGGGGGCCCAGGGTTGGCCCTTCGCTCCTGCCCACCCCTGCCATCCAGCCTCCCCACCATGCTCCTGGGGTGCAGAGCCTTCACCTGCACCCCTCCTTGCCTGGCTGGTTCTTCCCAGTCTTCACACATCCATACCCTTATCATCTCCCAGGGCTGCCCCTTTTCTGGTCTGTAGAATATTCCATGCCAGATCTTACCTCCTCTTGGGATCTCCTGCCCACCGTGCCCAGAATGTTCTCAGAGCCCACCTGCCACTGACCCTGGGTAGATCTCTTGCCAGAAAAAAAAAGGGGTGCAGCTATATAGACACAAGATCTGACAAAATGGAAACAAACTTTCCAACAACACAAACTTTGCTTAGTAATATATTATCTTCATATTACGGGACATTTAGTCCTGTGAGAATTTTTTCCAGTACATATGAGGTGCAGAACAGTGGCATAGCATGCATGCTGTAACCACAACTTTTAGGGAGGATATCTGTATAAAAGGAGGGGACCCCATGGCTACAGCACCCACAGCAGCTACTGTTTTCTTCTCATGCTTTCGTATCTTTATTTTTTTTTCTGCAATGAATTCGCATCATATAAAAATTAAGGCCGTGATGTGTGATGAGAGAGCTGGAGAGAGCTGACGTGCGGTCTGGTTCAGGTCACCAGGTTCCCTCGAGATCTGAGTGGTGTCTTCCTGTCTAGCATCTGTAGGGCCCCGCCCAGCATGGATCACTGAATCCACAGGTGCCCCTTTAATGTCTCCATGAAACACGCGGAGAAGGGCTGACCACAGTGAACCTTCAGAGAAACTTGCCAGAGGACACAGACGGAAGAGCTTGTCAGAATCTCTGCCTGTCCACGTGGTCCAGGTGTCCACGTGGGAGAGGCCACCGGGAGAGAGCGCTAGGAAAACAGAAGAAGCTGAACACTAACGCATTTTCTCTTTTTTCTTTCCATTTTTTAAAAATGTAGAAATAATTCATGTGAAAGGAAGCCCCCAGGCCTCCAGGGAACGTTCATGCTGTGCAAGTCGCGGGATAGGTGTATATTTTCATTTCCCTGCCGAAGGAGTGAGATGGCTGCACCACTGGAAAGAGGTGTGCTTGGTTGTTGGCTCCTGGGCTGCTGGGAGGGAACCCGGGCCTTGTGCGTGCTGAGCATACACTCCACACTGAGCACCACCCCGGCCGTGGGGGACGCACGTTCCGCTCACAGGGAAACTGCAAAGCGCTCCCTAAAGTGGCCGTTCCACTGCTACGGTGGGCGGTCACACTCTGGGTGCGGATGGCGCTTCACTGTGGCTTCAGTTGTGTTTCTGTGGTGACTGTGGTGCTGAGCTCCTTTTCCTGCTCACTGTTTATGTTCACTTCAGTGCGTCTTCACACGTGTACTCACCCACACAGTGCCACGCAAGACACCCTCCTTCCTTTCCAAGAGCTTCAGTGTCTTCTGCACATCTTGCATTGGGCTGTCCTTTTTTTTTTTTTTTTGTACCAGGGATTGAACTCGGGGGCACTCAACCACTGAGCCCCATCCCCAGCCCTACTTTTTATTTTATTTAGAGACGGTCTCCCTGAGTTGCTCAGCACCTCGCTTTTGCTGAGGCTGGCTTTGAACTTGTGATCCTCCTGCCTCAGCCTCCCAAGCCACTGGGAGTGCACCACGGCGCCTGCTGGGCTGTCCGTCTTGATGGTAGCTTGGTAAGAGAGCTGTGGACTGGATACCAGCCCCTGGTGACTGCGTGTGCTGTGGACATTTTCTCCCATCTGTGCTTGCCCGTATCCCACTGGATTTATTCCTAAGCTCTTAGTGTTTTTGATGTGATTTTAGTGTTTTTCCTTTAACTTTTTTTTTACAATTGTTCATCACTAATTTCTAGAAATGCAACTAATTTTTATTATCCATTCTGTGTCCTGTGACCTTGTTAAATTTATTTATTAGAGAACTTTTTTTTAATGTTCTATAGGGTTTCATGAATAATAGCAGTTCTACCTTGCTTCTGATCTTTATGGCTTTTTACTGTTAATTCTCCACCTAAAACCTCTGAGGCATTGTTGAAAGGATGGGTGAAAACATCCTTGGTCCCACTAACAGGAGAAAATCATTGCTATTTCATAACTCAGCAGGTTGTTAGTGGTGGATTTTTCATAGACTCTTTTTATCACCTTGAGGAAGTTCTGGTTCATGTTTACCAAACATCTTTTATCATGATTTTGTTATGCTTCCTCCGTAGTTATGATAAGATCAGAGGACCTCTTCTCTTTAATTTTCCCATACCAAGTAAAAAGGAACCGTTTTGGTTCTCAAAGAGTCTAGATAAGCCTTGGGAAGCCTTGCATTTCCAACCTGAAGTCCTTGTCAGGAACATGTTCTGTCAGGAGAGGCTAGCAGACCTCCAGAAAGCTATTCCACCATCGCTGATTGCTAACTTCTCATCCAAATTGCAAGCATGTGAATACGGGGTACATGTTGGTGAGGAAAAGCCCACCCCATTTCCCTGCGAGATCTCAGGTCAGGAAGGTGGGGTGCTGGACCAGCATATGCTCTGAAAGACACTCAATTTCAAGGTCTGGGAGGACAGAGAAATCACGTGCCTTGCTCACAGGAACAGCCCCGGCACATGGTTCTGGGTGTGGATGTTAGTAAACATTTGTTGAATAGATACATGAGCAAATTAATGCAGGAACAGGTGAGTGAGTCAGCGCCTATGTGGACGAGATAGAGATTGTCCTCTTGGGACACAGGGACTTGACTGAAAAGATTTAGGTACCGGGTGTGCTGCAGGGAGAGCCCCAGGGAGCTGTTCTCAGTCTACATGAAGGACCGCAGAAGCAGACCCAGGGACTTCTGGGCACCTTCTGTGGTTCTGCATATATTGATCTTTAGTTATCCCATCTGTTTCTGCTTTTAAAAGAAAAGGCCAGCGGAAGGGAAGCTTCCCTCCTTCACCCAGTGAGTGAGAGAGGAGGGGCTCGTCTCACGGTCACGCCTAGGGCCCCACTAACAAAATGTTTGCTTCCCAGTTCTCTGACCTTGGCACTAATGGACCAGAGGCCACAGCTGGGGGGACGGGGTGCCTCTACCAGAAGACACAACAATGATCCCATTGAACTGGGAGCTGAGGTCCCCCGCCCCCCAGGTCCCCATGCCTCTGAGCCAGCAGGCAAAGAAGGGAGCTACTGTGTGGCTGTGTGGCTGAGCCTGGCTGGAGGAGAATCGGGCTGCTGTGCCATAGGGCAGGGAGAGATCGTCCGCAATGCCAGAGACCCCAGGCCGGGCTGGATGTGACTGCGCCCTGAGCCATGAGAAACTACACTCCACTCGGCACCACCCAGGGCCCAGACCCCTGCAAGCGAACGAGGCTCAGGTAAAGGGGACACAGAGCAGATGACAGAGGGGTACAGACGCTCCTCCGCTTAGGCAGCAAAGGGTTCGGGAACCAACAAACCCACTTATGTTGAAAATATGGAAGTAAAAAAATGCATTTAGTTGCCGGGGCGCAGCTCAGTGACAGAACACGTGCCAAGCTCCCAGGTCCAGTGCCCAGCGCCACCCTCCCGCCCACCCCTGTGCAGCCCACAGCTGCTTCACCTGAGGTCCCTAGGCCGGCTGGGCCAGCACCATGTATCACACTGCATGTCACTAGCCATGGTCCCAACTCAAAGTTGAACTGCGGTTTCTGCTGAAGGAGAATCACTG